CATTGTAATGCAAGAGAACATGCTAGACTACTGTAAGCTGGATACAGATGAAAATTAATGTCTACTGAATGAGCAAAAAAGGAAAATGGAATACTAGATGAAAGTTTATGTCTACTGATCGAAAAACCTTAATTGAGCTAATGCCCAAGTGGTAAGTGAAAGTAATTCGCAGCCAGCAAATTCGATTCTGAACTCTCGTCCAGTACCGTAGTCGGAACTTTCACGTGGGAAGATTACGGTACTGGACGAAGGTTTGTAGTTGAATTTTTTGGCTCCATATGGGTTGAGCGTTCAATATAGAATCTTTGAATAAAATGACAAAAAACACAACTGTGAAATTTTATAAATATAAAATGTAATTCTCTAAACTTCATACATTTTCTTACTGACACTATGCTACTCACTTCATGAAGGCATTTTTGTGCTGGCTAACAATAGTACGATTAGAAAAGCTAGCAAGACGATATATTTCATTAACTTGAACGGTAAGAAGGTTAAAATCAAAAGTAGCATGCATTAGGAGCGGTAAACTATAAAAGCGTTTGATAGGAAAGGGGAAGTTGGGGCTGAAACCAGTTTGCAATGACAAAACATAGTAGATAGCACTTACAGCATTACTAAATGGCAGACGCGGTGTGCACGGGTATTGGAAAGGGATAAATTGTATTGAGGATCGATAAGAGGGGGGGGGGCAGGGAAAGGGGAGAAAACTCTAATTTTTTTTCAAACTTGCAAGATAAAATATGACGACGCAAAAGATAGTAGAATGGAAGTGAAACGACGGACTCTAAGTGACGATTACCATACCAAAATCAAGGAAATCCTTCCTGTTTTCTCTAAGCTCCTTTCCAAACCCCGCGCAATCTCCCAAAAACAGAAGGACCGCATAAGAACTGGTATAAACGAAGAAAGACAGCCAAGCTGGTCCAAAGAGTTGATCGCGGTGGCTGGCTGGCTGTCTGTGACCTGGCCGAACCCGAAACCATAGTGCAAACATTGAGGTGCGAGACTGAAGAGAGCCTGAGAGGAATGTTGTATTGGAGAAATGAGTGGACCCGTGGACGGTCCCAGCGAGCCACACGGCTAACGCATACACTCGGATTGTCTGCTCTCGAGTCCGAACATCATCGTCGTTTTCAAATTTTTGAACGAGTGGAGGAGGTACAACGAGTTTTTAGGGAATGTCGTGGGAAAAGCAGCGGAAGTGAAGCCCGGAAAATTCGAAGGAATGGGAAGTGTAGAAAATGAGTTAGTTATCTCAACACAATATTTAGGTCTCATGCGAGATATTATAAAAAAATCGTACAAATTAACAACGAGAAGCTTTTGTCATGGCTACAGTTGTTTATCAAATGCTCCTTACATTCATAAAAAGGCCATCTTTTTGTTTTACGATAACGAAGACACGTGTTCCAAGAAGTTGGCTTTCGGCCAAGAATTAATGATGACCAAAAGATGGTACTGGTCAACTTTTATTCATTTTCGAATTTTGAATAGAGGCAAAATATATATATTAGGCATTGGCGGTTTGATCATCTTATCAAGCGAATTTTTTCTTTTTCCAAGTTAAAGACAAATTTTGTAAGAAATCTTACCGATGAATAACAACAGAAACACATGTTATAAGAAGTTGTTGCTTGATCAAAAGACCTACTGACACTAAACAAGATAATTTATCGGTCAGTTTGAGATTGTTCTTCTGATACGTAAAAATAAGTATTAATTACTTGAACTTTGACATTTCGGCTAGTTGGCAACTGTAAGCGATCTATATCAGGTTGAAGGTAAACTAATAAATAACCTTTTTTCACAAAAAGAAAGGGGAATGGGCGAATCAAATTGAAAATAGAGACGATAGCAAGAATGTCACTATTTGATGGAAATAACAAAATTATAAATCAGGCCTACTTCAAGCCTGAATTTAAAAAAGAGAGAACTTTACATTCAGGAAATGTTTTTTAGATATTGTAAGACAGAAATTGAAATTCTTTAATGTACTGTAAGATAAAAATTATATTTGATGGAGACTTATTTAAGGGAGTAAACAAAAAATTTTCTGAAGATTTTGACAACAGATGAAGAAAATATCCCAGTAAAGTATCTGGTTAAGGGGTCTAACTATTTTTTCCATGGCGACTTTTGGAAAAACTATACTCAGCGATTTCGAGAAAAAAAGTAATATTACTCTAAAGAAAATTTCTAGTCATATGAGAACAGACTGATGAAAGTTTGCTGGAATCAATAAAAATTGCTTCCGTGACTATAAGAACTATTGTTTCTAAAGCTATGAAAAGTTTTGCTTTTGAGATTGAACCTCCTTCAAAACACCCGTCGAGCAGAATTACAAAATACGGAATCAGAATTCTAGCCAAACCACGCCAGTTGCTTAGCCGGAACAAGACAATCCTTGGCACTGCGAACCACAGGGTGACTAGTTCAGGCAAGCCACTCCTTATGAGGTGTTCCAGCGCGAACAATGACAACAGATTTACGAGCCTTACATGAATGTTCTTATACAAACTTCATCCAGTGGCTCTAGCCAGTCGAACAACGACTTTTATGACTTCAACTTTTTCCTCAAGTTATATGACTGCAGTTTCGAGGGATAACCATCATCATTGGCTTGTTTTATTCGTGGCAATCGTCATTTACGGCATGTATAGGAGTGCTAGATCCGTTAGAAGACCGGATTCGAGACATAAAGCTTAGGTTTTGCATACAAGTAATGGAAATTAGATATCGAAAGGAAATGATCAGCTTTTTAGGGGCAAATTGGAATTGGGATTGAAAAAAAAAACGCAAAGCCGGGAATGTATCGCACAGTTGTGCAAATAGAAAGCAGAACAATGGCTCAGTTACGTAACAGGGATATCATAAATGTTACCAAAAGTGTTTGGGAACCTAGGGGGACCCACCGGGTAGTTTTTCACCCAAAAATCCCACAAAAAGCCTATCGCCACGTGAGCGAACGAACAATCAGAGCGTAACGGCTTAACAAAACGATCGTCAGCGACGATGCGACTGTCAACCAAATCGCATCGCTCTGCGATTCTACACGAAATCATGCGACAATGACGATAAACAGGGCTGTCTATAGCTCTGTGGGGGGTAACCCGGGTGGGAAGAGGCGAAAAGAGAAAATTAAGAAGCCGAACCAGTTCTGTGACAGACCGACCAGCGGCAAACAAACTCATTTCTACGGACCTCGAACAAGCCTATTGTGCTTTTTACTTAAGAGAGGTGAATCAGCACCTGAGTGTGGGTGCGGTATTGGGTTACAGCATAATGGTATTTTGGGATCAAGGCCAGGTGAAAGAGAGCAGATCCGGGTTGTAAAGATCATATGACCACATGAATTACCCGCAAACAGTCAAGGGGTTTCTCAGCATCTTATCAAAAAATTTACATGGTACCCAGTTCGAATGTACTACCAATTTTTTAATATGCTATGATTTCCATGCGATCGTGGAGATTCGCCACCTTTTCTCCGTTCCTTCGCTCACAAAAACTAAATAAATAAATTATTGCAAATTCAGTCCCCCCCCCCAACTTTTAGGCGATGCATATTTTTTCTTCCTAAATAAGAAATTGCAAATCTATTGCTTGAAATGTTTGAAATGTATGAGATGAGTGGGCGGTCCAACATAGATTTCTCTATTCAACGAAGAAAGGAAAACTCTTGAGTCTAATGTTATGCTACCGTAACTTAAGTATAATCTTACTGTAACCATACCGTATTCTAGCCTCATACTGCGTAATGAGAGAAGTGGTTAATGATGACAAAACAAAAATTTTTAACTAAAAATTGTATACATTTCTCATTAGTGTCTAAACAAGATTGAGATCACAGGAGATGTAGGGAAAAGAAAGGGAGGTGGGGGGAGGAGGAGGGGAAGGGAGGAAGAAAAGAGAGAAAGATGTAAATAGGTTTGAATAGCCGCAAAAGTTTAAGAGATGCTCTAAAGAGTCTGACAATGTAATTAAGATTAAGAAAAAATAAAAGAGAATTAAAGAACAAAGAGGAAAATAATTTTTGCAGCTCAACGAAAGATTTGCCTGAGAGTAACAAGCGGTCTCTTTTCTCATTTTTGCTTCAAAAAAAAGGTCCTCACCTAAATATTGTAAAGTTTACTGATACAGTTAAGAGAACGAAAAATCTGTAGTAATACAGTCGTTGCTAAAATCTGCAGTCACATTCGAAGACCTTGAAAAGAAGATTTCATCTTTGCCTCTTCCAAAATTAATTCACTATAATTGTCATAATAGCCTGAAGAATGACCAACAATCAAAAGAGACAGACGTATGACCTCAGTGGCGGGTCATTATACTCTAATAATAGACTATAAGCGATTCAAAACGATTTCAGCAAAAACGTTCAGCAGCAGCAAAAGGACATTACGATAATAGCGCAATAATGTGCTCATCAGCCGTCGCCGCGTGGCGCGCATCGTCGTCGATTCTACGGCAATATAATTGTTTGTCATGAGCGACTTTCTGAAGAAATGTGGACAAGGTCATTCCCGGACCATCATTCCTGTACCCCGTGGATGCCAGCCGACAACACAACACGCACAATAACGCGAACATACAACCTAATCACCAGTCTCTGGGAATGCGGGCGCGCGGACCTCGACGGCAGTGGATCGGCGTGAGATCTCGGACAGACACGAAAAGAATAGAGTAACCCGAGTGATATAGTACCCGGACTTGAGTGGTGACAAGTATGACACCTTTCAGTGCGGGGGGGGGGGGGGAGTGACCGCACCTCCTCATTGACGAACGAGGAAGGAACGAATTATTCGTCAACAAAGGCCGTTCTCTTTGCGCTCAATGACACCCGTATACGGGGCTGAGGTGAGTAGATACGATGGAAAGCATAAAATATGCTGATTATAGGTTGGAAGGCTGAATTAGAGGATGATGAAGGGGAAGAATGGCCTCAAGGATTTCCAGATTCGAAAATGGGGAAAAACGAGGGATTACGGTAGCTAAGAACCCACTTTTCGTCGCCTTTGTGGAGCGTAACAGCCTCGTTCACACGCCAATTGTTTAGCGATTCTCTGCTTCCGAATTGTGGTGAACTTGTGTCCGTATTATCCTAAAAGGGTTCAACATACTAGCTACTCCATAAGAATCTAAAAGCCTGTTACACCCCCCCCCCCCCTTCCTCGAAAAAAAGGAAGAAATCACAGCTTAAAGAGGGCTTACCGTTGGTTCCTCGCTAACAGCTTCGCTGCCACTTCCTAGCAAGCTATCCGGCGATTCTGACCTGAAAGAAACTCATTCAGTTGAAAAATGGCAAAAAATTTTCACACATTCTCTAAGCATGGACAGATTACAGTGCTCCCCCGCCTCCGATCTGACAATTTATGTCGATAAAAATCCCCAAAATCGTCACTTCAAAGCATCTTAGAGTAACAGCAGAAAAGCAGGCAACGGAACATTGTCAAAAACCTTAAATGCGCTAACTATGGACAGAATTACCATGCCCCCTGGTTCCTGTCCTCATCCTTCCAAAAAACTTCCAAATGGTAAAAATGCTTGAAGATAATAAAACAAAAACGTAAATTCAAATCTCTCAAAGGATTTGAAAACAGAAGAAATTACATAGTTGACAATGCTGAACCATATTTGGCATAAGCTTGTGTCATAGGCTAGATTTCATTAAAAAGTGATATTTAAATACATTGGAACATTGCCAGAAATCTGAAGATTTCCAAAGCATGGCAAGATTACCATTGATGTAGAACCCGGTCAGAAGAAAAAACATTTTGGTTCTCTTCTCTAAACTGTTTGAACTCATTAGAAAGCCGTGAAGTTTTCTGTTTTATGAAAATCGCAAAAAAAGTCGCATGAACGCCTTCTAAGTGCTTCAAATTTTTGACTTGTAGCCAACGCTTATAGAATTGGAGGGGAAGAATGTTGGGAATTTTTTGCAAACTAATTTGAAGCTTTGTCAAAAAACGTAAGAGCGCATTTGACACCGCATTAGTCTAATGAAAGTGAGACTTATGAGAGTTATCAGTGATAAGGTGGTCACTGTAGTTTCCATTGGCGTCGTAAAGTTTGTACGCATGAGCCGGTAATGGGAGACAATTGGTGATAAAACCGATTAGAAAGATAATTAGAGCTAGGAAAGCGGGAAGGCGTCTTAAGCCATAAAACAGGGTTAGGGACTTTCATTAGTGTCTTGGAACATTCCGAAAGTAAATTCGTTTGTATTTGCAGAAACTTTTAAACAAAAACACTAGAGGAATGACGATAAATCAAGTTATAAATTCTGCATAATCAAATTTCAACTTGCAGTTTACGATAATAATAATAAACAGGGTTCGGCACGAGCTGGCTAGATGAAAATGGAAGAAAACGAAGTCCCCCTTGACTTTTGGGAATTTTTACGAAGTCCCCTTTGACCCTCAACCAAATTTCCTCTAAAAACCTGAAAAATTCCCCAAAATCCCCCAAAAAACGAAACGTCGACTAAAAAAAACGTCGCCAAGTCGCCAATTTTGCATCTCTTTTCGGCCACAAAAACGAAACCCCCTTTGCCTTTTGTCCCATAAACGATACCCAGCTTGCTTACAAGCCACCTGTGCCGAGCCCTGATAATAAAGGATGGAAGCAGAAAAAGGCAAAAGCTGAAAGATCACTTGGTACAACGATGAACCATGTGTAACATAACTCTGCGCATAGCTAGACCTCATTTTGCCAAAATAGTCGAAAGGGATCAGGAAAAAAAGCGAAAAGTACCAGTAACTATCTAGATTTGATGTTTCTCAAAGACTCAAAAAAACTAAAAAAACCACAAAGAGCGGTACGTTCTTTCCTAAGAAAGTTACCCAACAACACTCACTCTCCTTGCCATCCTCGTAACCTTCAAACTCCTTGCCGAAACGACGAATTATGCCGTAAACCTCTATTGTACGATTCCTACTTCTTACACTACCGGGATTATCCTATAATTACCCCTACTGCCGCTCCTTAGAAGGAATGCCATGGCTCGTGAACTGTTTACAAAACGGCAATCGGGGGTAATAAGGAGATCTGAGAGTCTTAGGAGGGCAAATCAAGGTTGACTAGTCTTATACGAGCTGAAAATACAGAAGGATTGGCAATGCTTATCCTAAACTGTGGTTTTGGAGTTTCTTATGAAATTCCAAAAACCACAGGTTGTAATCTGCATTCAAGATAAAAACATTTAGCAAGAAATCTAGTTGGCACCTTTACCACTGAAATAATTTGCAAAGTGTGTGTAGAATTTTCTTGGCGAGGTTGCGGAAAATTTTTTTAGAACCTCTACCAAGGAATGGACCTCTATCAAATCAACCTAACCCTCTCCCCAAAATCTTCAAAATTTAACTCAATACTAAAACATAGCACGACAAAGAAATAAATACGAACTAGGCGTTTGATAGATGTATAAATCGGGTTATACGCCGGAACTTTGGTGTTATCTACCGATCACATCGTGTCGGATCTGTGACTACAAAGGAGTGGCGGCTGTCAATGCCATAATGAGATTGAAATCAATTTGCGAATTTCACGCTAAAACTTCAGCAAGTTGGCAGAGATGTGAGAATACTCGATGTGAAGGGCGTGAAGAGTAGAGTGAAGGGTTTGGAGCTATTGAGGGTAAAAAATCGAAACCGGAAATTCTAGAACACTTTATAGAGAGAGAGTTGCGAACGACGTCTAGTGAATGGGATTCTCTGACTCTTGCAAACATCAAGTTTTTATTTTGTTTGCCATTTGTAGGCTTTGTAATGAGTAAAATTATGGCGTCAGAGAAATACGAGTATAGAAAAGGGTATTCTGCGCTTTTCGTAGCTAATGATTCTTGCTCAGAAGACTAGTTAATCCCACAGGAAACTGAGAAAAAGAATGACAGAGCAGACTGATACTCAAACAGCGATTTCTGAGCGATTTTTATACATGTATCTAAAAAAACTGCAATAGTTTCACAAAAAAAAGAGAGATTGACAGCGTAAAAATTGTGAAATCTTTCCACTCATTATAAAAGCTCCAGAGGAGAACGCGTGCCTCAAAGGTTATAAGGTCAAAAAAGGAAAAAAGGAAGACATACGCCATAAATTTTGACTTCTTTCTTTGATTTAAAGATTCAAATTACCCAAAGTTCATGAGAATGGGAACAATACTTTGGGAAATTCTGGGAGATAAATTGCAGACATTTTATATTACATATTCTAAAGACAAAAAGAAACCCCGAAACGAGGAAAGGAATTCCATATTGACAAAGTTTTTGAATAACCAAAAGTAGTTTGTAGTGACCACTCTAGCAGATTTTTGAATTATGATATTAAGGACAGGAGCTAACTAAAAGTAACTAACAAAAAAGTTCATCCAGTTCAGTTCATCCTTTGCGAAAAAAGGAACGTATATTGTTGCAATTAATATTTTTTAGGAGTGGCAAAAGTATTTGCACTTTTCTCGAACACACCCTGTAGCGAGACTTTATGGAATCTTATGGAAATGTAAAAGTACAACTTGTTGCCTTCTGCACCAAGTTGCTCCCATTCTCAAACATTTTGGGTCACTCGGTTATGTAAAGCCTGTTTCGACCACTAAGACATCAAAATGCAAAACTGTTGGCGACTTTTGGTGACAAGTTCCTTTCAGAAAAAAAGAAAAGTATTCTCTCTTCCAAGAATACTTCTATTTGAAATCTAAAGCCTTGCGTCTCCAAAGCTGTTTGGTCAGTCAAAATACTGCGAAACTTCCAGTTTTATCAAATGAGTCATGCTATTGTCAGTCGTCGTCTGCAAATGAAAATAGAGCCAATTTGATTGCAATTCTGCTCTTAGCTACTTCTTATCAAAGCTTGCACTTTTTTATCAAGTGACCAGACTGGAAAATTTGAATTTTCTAGACAGGAAATCCGAGCTGTGACAAGAATGGAGACGAACACCAACTGGCACGAATGCTTGCATGAATGCTTATTCAATTGCATGGGTTTATGGCCTGAGAAAAAAAGGCATTGGTCAGAGGTTTTGTTGCGAACGGGGGAGAGCAGAGGTGGGGTTGGGGGGGGGGGGGGGGAGGGAGAAAGGCACCAATTGGGAAGGGGCTAAGTATGGTTCAAATGGCAGCTCATATGATTCCACCGTGACCGATAAATTCAACTCTAAATTCCAGCCCATACCGTACTCCTCACGGGCGGGTGAGTGTTTCCAAGTACGGTACTGGGCAACAGCTTAGAATTCAGTTTATCTGCAATATTAGGCTAGCTATATAAGCTTTACGTGAGGCCTTTATTGATGAGAAACAAGAAAATTAGACTTGTATAAAAGAACATACAAAGGTGAAGAACCACATGCGCGAACATGGAGCTATTCACAAATGGCCTCAAAGCTAAAAGTGACACCCACTGTGTAAGCATGAACATTCTAAGCGTCAATCTCTCTTCAAACTCGTCCACAGTCAAGAAAAAGAAGTAGAATAGCAAGCGACATCTGTCGTTACGTCAAATGCAGCGCGAAATGGCGGAGATTTCGATTGCGTAAGAACTTCGAATTCGACTTGCTTAAGTTCATGAAGCGTGGATTAGAAGCTGATTTACATCTTAACAATCCTTCCTAAAGCATAATGGGTACGAGTCCTAAGCCTCCTAGGATGACTTACAGAACTAGTTGTAGAACTAAGAAAATGCACTTTTTTGCGAGCAGAATTGCTCAGGACGAGATTTCTTTTTAGTGAGAGTTGAAGGTCGTACAATCGCGTACATTTGAGCCATAAATCGACGAGCATTGGTGCAATTTTGGTGCGCCTTGCCAAGACGTTGGATTGCCAGTTTCAAGGCTAATGGGATGTTGGCGAGATCGGAGAATTCAAGTTCTATTGAAATGTCAAAGGACAGTCTTGCTGAAAAGAGCTGTGTGTAGCGCATGACTTTTATAATATGAACCACAAAAAATCAACTTTATGAGTACACTGCGAATACTTTTTCTTGTCAACACAACACCCATTACCGGTTAAACTCTGCATTCTGCCGTTCTGGGATGGGGGATTATGACGGAAAGGGGAAGGCCTGTCAAGAATTACTGTAGACGTCGTTGATGATAGTTGATAATATTCAGTTGGCACTGGAGTTCGTTCGCACCATTTTGAAAACTCGTAAGCTCCTTCCTTCAGAAAACATTTGCACATACTTATTTTTATTTGGAAGAGGACCACAGGTTCTTTCATAGGTTCAATGCCTCTATGCTCCAGAGATCAAATGAGGAGAAAAAATTATCAATTTTCGATTTCCTGTGTTTGGTCGTAAAAAATCTGAAACTTGCAACAAAAATTCAAGCACTAGGTATTATAGGTTTTACCCCCTGCCCTTCCTAGCTAAGCAGAGTTTGCACTGATTGAACGTTTCTACGAAAAGTTATGATTTTCGAGCAAGCGATACAAAACAAGTTTGATTTTTGTGGTATTTTGTCTTAAATCATAACTTTTTAGAGAGAGTTTCAATCAGCGCAAACTTTCAGGAAAGGAAGTAGGTAGTAAAATATAATATCTACTGCTCCGACTTTTGTTGTAAGTTTCATATTTCTTACAGAAAGAGTGATTTTGAAAACTGAATGATTTTCTTCTCCGGCTTCGATCTCTGTAGCTTGCTCTATTAGAAAGAATTTTAGACACTATCAGAGAGAACACAATTTCCTCTTTCAAGAAAAACCGTAATGTGCAAATCGGCTGAGGAAGAAGGAAGTTATGAGTTTTTGAAAATGGTGCGAAGGAACTTTTGCGCCAACCCAAAATTTCGTTAGTTTTTAGAGTGAGTTGCGTACGTTACAGTAGAAATGATCGAATGAAACATATCTATGTTGTCCTCAAAGATGGGCAACCATTCTTTCATTTGTTTATTTTGGGACAATAGCAATTTTTTAACAGCTTGGTCAATGCGACTTTCTCAAATCAGGGGATTAGAGTAATCTAATCATAGATAAGCTTATAAGCGTTTCAAATCAGTCTATTTTTTCGAACAAAGGAGCCCCCATTTTTTCGCGTACGAACAAAGGAAAAACCAAAAACAGGAACTTTCAACTTTTTACGAACTATTTATTTACGGATAATGTTCTGCACCAGACAAATGACCCACGCATACCACTTAAAGCTGAAGCACCCATGATTTGGGAACAAAACAGGCCAAATTCTCTAATCGATCCCTAATCTAAGACAAGTATGAAAGCTCAAAAACATTGACAAACCCTGACAATTCGACTTTGTATTGCATAAGAGAAAGAAGCATATAAGACCCGCTGAACCTGACAAAGGAAACAAAGCACAAGGGTTAAAAAAAACACCAACAACGGACTATATCAGAGGGCAATTCAGTAATGCTACTAGGAGCTTTAAATTTAGTTTTGGTAGCCTTTTCAACGTATATAAAGCATTTGTGAAGAAGCAAAGTTATCCTTGAAGGTTAAGGTGTTGTTTGTTAGTTTCGGATTGTTAGAAGGTTGAAGAAGCGGTTAGTTTTGAACTGGAATAGATCACTGTACACATTTATTGACCTGCCCCCAATTTCAGTCTCTATATTTAGTGCCTTTAGTGCAGGGTGTCCCAAAAAATCTTGCTACTTGTAACAAAAGTCTGAAACTCTTGAAATCTTTAGAGCTCGAAATGTAGAAAGAAAGACGTGGTAGGAAGAAGAAGGTATAGAAAAATCTACTTTTTATCTAACACTTAGCTTTTTTGCATCTAGCAAGAAAAAAAGACTGAACAGTATGTAACAAGAAAAAAAGAAAATCCAAAATTTTGCAGAATTTTAGCTCAAAACCTTATGACATTTGTGAAACAAAATTGTTCTGTTACGTACACTTCGATAATCACACTCATTTCGTTCCTCAACCTCATTACTGTCGGATTATTGCAGCAGTTTTGTGCATATAATTCTTTTGGCACAAAATAATCCTACAAAAAATCATTATGCTTAAAATAAGTGTGATCAAAATCTCACCAAACAACTATCGGGAGTGTACTTGGATATCAATATAGTGTTCCTAAAGTGTCAAAACTCAGTCAATACCATAACCAAAGAGTTAAGAAATGTTTTTAAACTATTCCTCCCCCCCCCACCCTTCTGAAGGAATCTTTCAGAGCAAGATGCGCTTTTTGGGACACCCTGCATAATCATATTGGATGAGGTGTTAGTAGAAAAAAAAAGGGATCTTAAAAAGTTGACCGTACCTTGCCAGAATCGTATCTAGTGCTGCCTTTGCCGACTGCATTCGCGCAACCAGAGTGTCAGAAATTCGCCAGACAAATATGCAGCCATTGCTAGCCGCTACGTACAATCGCCTGAACAAATGAATAGCAGGAATGGATCCAAGTGTAAGTTGGCGCGATTCGCGCACCACTTCCCCACGGCTTGCGGCAAGTGTTGAGCGAGTAGCGACAGGATTTTACCACATACCTGCAATCTTCGGAAAATTCAACATCAATGGCTGCTTCCCCGATGCCCGTGACTGCTGCGACACATTTTCCAGTTTTTGCTTCGACTACGTATACATGTCGATCCGAACAAACGCTAGCCGCATAGGTACATGATGGATCCAGGCAGAACTATAAACATGATTTACTGTGATTGAACAGAATACTATAAAAGTAAAGTAAGATGGCGCGGCTCGCGCAGCACTTCCCAGCACCTGGCGGAAAACTGCTGCGCAAGTCGCGACAGATCGTGCACAATACCGTACCTTTCCAAGAGATCCCTGTTGGAGGTCGGCTTCACCACCAGTGCCACGTACAGTACTGAGCAATTTTCCACTGAAGCTATACGATCGTAACTGTCGATCCTGGCACGAAGCTAAGAGTGATGGTCCAGACAATGATACTAGCAGGTCATTAACGCCCATTGGGGCTGAGATCAAATTTTCACGATTAAATTGAATAGCGTCCTAAAATCGATAAAATCAATACTAATAGGATGTGGTGCAAAAAATCGATTCTAATCAATAAAAAAATCTCTCACATGGGTAAAAATGACCAGTCGCCATATGATAATGATCTTGTCTGAACCACATGTGAACAGGTAGAGATCGTTGGTTTCGTTCTGAAAAGATGCGACATGTCTGTGATTACACCTGAAAGACGGAAAACGACGCAAACCTGCACAAATCGTACTGCAGTGAGTGCACTTTGATGATCATCAATTACACAGCAGTGATCATAACTAGTATCACTTGGGCGAAATATATGAACAAGGCGATCACGACTACCAGATGCGAATAGATATGGGGCTCCTGAAACGAAGAGATCAAAATTTTTAGGGGAGCTTATTACTGTAGATGTACTGTACCTCTAGCGTTATTCGAGTACTCTAAGCATTGAACATCTAATTCATGAGCAGCAATAACTTCTATTTGATTCATTTCTGGGTTAGATAGATCGACGACACTAAAAAAATTTTTTCTATCCTATTCCTATTTTTTACCACCCCCTCCCGGAGATTAGGGTTGGAATAAGCAACTAACTGCAAGTTTCCGCATTTCGTTCCTGCTACCAAATGCCTGCCATCCGGCGAAATTGTCAAACAACGAATGCCAATTGTCGATTCCACTCGTTCACTTGGCAAAAGGCCAACATCTAAAACGAACCTTCTTTGGTTATAAAATTTTTTCTCGCGTGCTTGAAGTCTCAAGCTCAAAGACCTCCTTGAAACTTTGGCATTCTTGGTTTTCTCTGAGGTGTGTTCATTCTTGAAATAGAGGTTTGTTCTGAATAGCATGCAAAGAACAATTTGTATTGAGTTTTGGTAGCCTAACCCCATTACATACAGTTTTCCCATATTCAGAAAATTATTCATTTTTCCTACAAAGAAAGATTACCTCCTCGTGGTTCCACCAAAGCAGAGAAGTTTTCCTCTACGTGGATGATCTTTTTCAAAGTGGGTGAAAGGAGATTCTTACTGGGCACTGGGCAGATCTAAAAGACAACACATATTATGAAAGAAATGAAACTGTTGATGAAAATCGAAAAGCTGGGCTTAAATCAGGTAAGAGTTTTCTTATGCCTACGCATTTTTTTGGAAGAACGTAAGCAGAAAAAAGTTATGTTCATAAGAAAACCAAGGTAAAGTTGCCACTTTTACCACAGGAATATGAGAGATCAAAATGTCAATTTTTGTAAAAGTATGTGGTAAATAATGATAAAGCTGTCTAGACAGTCAACTGTAAAAACTGCTCAAAACTTCCATCTATTTTAGCACCATTTTGAAGATTTCGACACTAGAAAGGTTAATTTTTGAGTAGGACTGAACATCATTGTTGAGATGGAGAAAAGTTATTGGATAGGAATGAAGGTAGGTAAGTTGCAGGAAGAATTTTTTTCCTGGTAAGAAGTATCCTTGTATAGCCTTTTGTGAGCTAAGGTTATCAAAAACAATTTAGAAGATTTTTAACCTAGCATAGCTACTTCGTTTTGGAACGTAAGTAGATTAGATTAAAGATTTATCGTAAGAGAAATGGAGAGAAAAAAAGTTCAACAGAGTTTAACCAGTTTAACCAGAACCAGTTTACCTGGTTCTCATTCTTTTCCATACTCCAAATCCTAACCGTACCATCAACACCTCCAGTGATGAAGGAGCCACTGGGCAGGTAGGGGAACCGAGAGGGATACCGCTAAATAACAATGGCTTTTCTTGAGATTCCATAGTGCTGCAAAAAAATCTCCTTCCTTACCTGAACTGTGGTAACAGCTCCAACATGGGCTAGCGAACTCGATAACTTTGTCCACTGGTCAGGGTTGGAACCTCTTCGGAAGACAAACATGGACCTATCGGCATAGGCTGAGATAAACGTCTCTGGGGCAGTGGACGTGCAGCATAAGGCACGGACATCGGGGTAACTGGAAAATTTGGAAACTAGGGGTCCATAGGATGGCGGGGGGGGGGAGGTTGCAGACTTACGTTACACCTTGTGGATGAACTTCCAGTAATTCGACACTGCTAGCAACAGCTGGATCCATGCCAATAAAGGCTGGATGAGGTAGCACACAGAGCATATTCAAATTCTGTTTATCGTATAGTCGTATAGTACCGTTCGTACAGCCAAGCTAAAATGAAAGGAGATTTAGTTCTCACATATATTACAAACGAGAACTGGTCCCTAAGCATGACACAACCGTTAGAACATTTACCAAAAATGTGCGTAGTTTTTCGAAAAAGAGGTAATATGTAGAAAAAATATATAGAAATCCGAAATTTTAAAAAGAATTTATATTTTTGAAAGAAAAATCTCACCACAACTGCATCACTGGTAACGGAGATGCACAGCGGTAGACAGTTTTCTTCAAACCGGTAGATTTTGACGTACTATAAAACAAAACTTAGGAAGTAAGCCAGAGATCCAAAGAGTCAGAATTATATGTAAATTTTCACCTTCTTGTTCCTGAATTCCACAAGAACACCGTCTTCTGTTACCGCCAGCACCATGTCGGCATCCACAAACACGACATCAACAAACGTAGAACTACGCCGATCAGCCAGGATTGCAGAACGAGACTGAAAAATTAACTTATAGTGACAAAGTTCAGAAATGAATGAGGTAGAGATATGAAAAAACTCTTACCTGCATGGCTGCTCCTTGCTGTGAATCTCCAGCCGGTAGATGCCAGTATTTCACATGTTTTGAGCCAGCAGTCACACATATGGAACTATCTGGAGATATGGCAATGGCGTTCACCTGGAAATGAATCATTTCCTTGAATAAGACATATATATATTCTTCCAGCAGTAATTTTCATTTTATTCCATTTCCCTGGTGCTCATATTGCGGAAATTTCTCAAGATTATATTTACCATGATAACCCTGGGAAAAGAGGGCTCCGCACAGAGCTGGATACCGCTTTCGGGACAAAAAGCAAAGGAGATATCGTTTTTGTGGATCCAAAATTAGGTTTTTTAGTCCATTTTCGTTTTCCTAGTCAATGCGGGTTCGTAAAATTTTGTGAAAATCAGGCGGGAATCGTTTTTTGCATTTTTGAAAAGCCATTCGTGTTGAGCTCTGTAGGAAGAAGTGAAAGGATTGCCGTCTCCCCAAAATTTACAAACAATTTTTGCCAAATTCGACAAACAAGTGCAGATTCCCTAGACTAAAGTAGACTACATGTTCAGGTTAGTTTTTGAAAACTGAATTTTTCTGCCAGTTCATTGGCTCAGCTTGCAACAAAACCTGCAAACTTTCAAAAACTGTAATACTATTTTTTTCCCTCGAATCTCTACTACCCGAGAACGGAACCGCTAATTGGAGCACACATTGTAATGTCAACAAAGTCCTTCACATTTGCAATAACAACTGGTAGAAAATAGACGAAAATAACACTTGTTATAGATAATCCCAATAGCAAATGATTGTGAGAAAAAGACCTGCATTTGACATAACATAATAAAAAAATGACCCACCACAGCAGTGACTTTGCCAGTTGCAAGTTTGGAACCGCTTCGCCAGTCCCAAACACAGATGGTTCCATCATGTTGGCAACCAACAGACACTAGCAAATTTGTGCCGGGCACAAATCGCTGAAAACATTATCAAATAATCTAAATACCACGGAAAATAGGGAAGTCAGAAGATAAGCAGGTTGAAAAAAAAAGCTTACCACAGCGACAATGGAAATGGAGTGGAAGGGGAAACTTCGAAAGGATTGTCCCGTGAAATTTCCCGCATCGTCTCGTAATTCCCATACACGAACGTGTGGTTGATTGCCAGACTAAACAAAGTGATCGATTAGACCAAAACTTCATATTAATTTTCCAGTCATTCATATGCTAGTCTCTCATTTGAGCACTCCTTTATTATGACTCCCAGTTACTATGGAGTAACATCACTTGTGACTTTCATTATCTCTTTCTTCCATTCTCTAACCATATCAATCAACCTTTGATTCAACAGGCTTAGCGGCTGGAAGGCGCGGTTTTGTGACCTATACAAGGCCTCTCGTGCTTGCAACGCAGTCTGCGTCTCTCTAATGCGCGTGCTCCCTGGTCATCACCTAGGCTTAATTACGTCACGAAGTCCCGCCTTCGAGACGTCAAGCTAGTTGAACCAAAGGGTACTTGAGCGATCCCGATTCTCATTCTTATTCGATCCAACGCTGCATTTTTTTGCCTTTCAGCTTCGTGCAAATCCGAGAAAACCTTCGAAAAATGACCCATCAAAGCCTCAAAATTATAAACAAAACAAAAACAGTCAATGATCAAAACCAGCAAGGTGTTGAATTTTAGCATTTTATCCGCTACGCAACCTTTTTGATAACCTCACTTCTTTCAAATCACTTCAATCATTCTCTCATTTTTTTATTTCTTTATTCATTAGTCCGTTCACTCAACTTCTCATTCATTCATTCATCCATTCATTCATTCATTCTACTAGTGAACCAGCAATCAAAGGTGCCAGATTGCATCCGCGCGCTTCGGGCCGCCACGCGGCTTCCCGTTATTTGCACATTCTTGAATTGCGCTTACGTTTCTTTATATATTAGATTCATTCATTCATTCACGTATCTAATATACAAAGAATTGTAAGGTGCATTCAAAAATCATCAGATAGCGGGAAACCGAGCGGGTCCCGAAGCAATCGCGCTTGCAACTAGCACCTTTGAGATTACTGGTTCTTATACATGTATAAAACTCAAACACTAACTTTGTTTGCTTGGATGTTCGTGTCTTATAGACTCGTTTGTATGAGAACCAAAGAGACTGAAATTCTCTCTCCGAGAAACAAGCCACGATGCAAAAGATAGGCTACTTTTCGCGATGATTCGCTGGGTCCTTCTATCGATTTATCCATCTGTTTATTTACATCCAAGAAAATGAAAGCTTATCAGTTACTAAATCATTTCCCAATGGAGTAGAAGGGGCGGTAAAGATCATTTACATTTCCTGGCGACGGCGATACGGTTTCAAGAAGAGAGGCGATCAAGAAGGAAGGCAACAACTACGGGTGCCACGTGCGCTACAGACCAAACCAGGAGCATAAGCAGGAAGGAAGGAGGAAAAAGGTTACGGGAATTGAAAGAGAAAGAAATAAAATGTGAGTTACAAGAACTTCGATCACCATGCTAGACCGTTCACCACAGTCCGAGCTGGACCGGGGACGTCAGCTAGTTCTCCATACATTCCAGTCACTCTGTTCGTTCATTATCCCACTCACAACTCATTTAGTCATTCACCCATCTAAGCGTTGTCTCCATTCACTCGCTCTTTATTCATGCACACATTCCTTCACTTAGTCACTTGTTCATTATACTCAACCAGTCATTTCATTCAGCCGTTGAGTAATCTCACTAACACCAGTCAAGTTATTCCAGCATTCATTCTTTTATTCATTCATTCATTCATTCATTCATTCATTCATTCATTCATTCATTCATTCACTCATTCATTCATTCATCAATCGATTCGTCATAATCATTCATTCATTCCATTCATTCATTCATTAAATCCGTCCATCCATCCCTTCAATCGCTCATTTATCCACACTTTTTGTCCAATTTTCTTCATGTGAACTCACCTCTCCTGTGGCTATATATCGCCCACAAGCGCTAAACGCAAGGCACGTAAATGGATGTCGAGCTGCTCCAACAACATGTCCTTCACCAGATTTTCTTGACCCATCGAATGATGTCAGCACAACCGTCGCTCTAAAAAAACGCAATTCAAAGCTGACAGTAACACAAAGAATAATTTCCTCTCATCCTCCTCAGAATAGAGCCGATGAAGCAGTAAATTTGAGAGTTTAATTCGTGCTAGCTCTCAAAACACTGCCTAGACAATTCTAGCTAACAAGTTGTAAGTTTTTTTCCATGTGACAATTGATAAGGAGTATTAGGAGGCTTTACTATGCGGCCCAAGAGGCAGCTTTGGAAGCAGCTTTAGCTTTTCACTATTGGAAGAGAAACTTGACCCTGACCTCTCGCCCAGTACCGTAATCTGCCAATCAGCATCTTAGGATGTTGGGCAAGAGTTCAGGATCAGATTTCTGTGTCATGAATCAGGTGTATGAGTTGTCGTTCGGATAATGGCTTATTCGTATCTTGAAATCGTTATTCACCTTAGACTAAGAATGTCCCCTGCACCAGGACTAGGGCTTCTCCCAACCACATGCTCTCATTTCGCAGCTTTCATACCAAGCAAAAAACAACTGCTAACCACTTGCCCACATCTTACTTTTCCGCTTTGAGTACGGCACTGGGCGAAAGTTTAGAGATATTTTTTCAGTCAAGGATAGATTTCAAGCGCCATATCTTGTACAGTAACTTAGTTTATGCTTCATCAGTCACTATATAAGAAGTCCAGGTTCCCGGGAATTGCCTGAGCAGTATTTGCAGTGTCCCTGCACCAGGCTCGAATTCTCTCCCACATGCCCCTTCTGCTTATCATTGGGTGTCATAAAACGTACGTGTGTAGAACCGCTTAGCGTGCTCTAGAACCCTAGTAAAGATGATAAGTGTCCATAGATTACATTTACGAACTTTTACGAACACTTTGCAGCAATTAGAATGCTAATCTAGGATCTCATTACTCTTTGATATGCGAAAACTGCTCGGTTATCAAAATCCTCGCTGATCAAACAAAGACCCCTCAAAAAATCACCCCGCATCCAATCAAGGTGACAGCTCCCTTCAATAGAGAAAACTCTTCGCCAGGTATTTGCTTTTCTTTCTGCTCTGACCAAGAGCCGAAGCCAAAGCAAAGCTAACGATAAATCAGGTCAGGTTGTTTGCCCAACGGTGCGGCCGGTGAGAAGCGGGTTGTCACAGTCTTAGCGCTATCATAGTGCAAATAAGCACGATGGCTTCGATGAATTTGCGGCAATGGAGCCACCAGTGGAGTTGGCGCTGTGCAAATTTTGTTGCAAAATAACGGTGCAGAGAATGTTAACATGATGCATTTGCATCAAAGGCGACATCAAAGGCGCGGGAAAAATGGCTGAGGGACGCAAAAAGTGGGAGTTGTGCGCTGTGTAGCGTTTTTGACGCGCAAATGTTGTCAACACCGTAGGCATATCATATCACCTGTCGAATCTAAGGTATTGGATAGGAAAATATGAAAAATAAATGAAAAGAGCTTACCCGGCTACATAGGCAATTCGACCAGTCCGCTCGTTAACAGCTAACGAATTCGGCCCCACTGATGTACGCCCAAATGCCGCTTCCAGTTTAACCTAAAATTAGGAAGATTAGTGTTTTTCAAAAAAAAAAATAGAGATAAAATATTAACAAAAGAGTAGGATAATAGGATATATGAGGATGAGGAATTTGAATGAAGGATTTCTGGAAGAAAATTCATTTTCAGAATGGCCAAAGAAACGGTCCATATTTGGGCAAAAAAATGAAGAAATGATTGCAAGTTCAGTTCACGTTTTTTTTACATGTTTCAACTCTCAAAATTCATAGAGGTATTTAGACTACAACCTCTTCTGCACAGGGATTTGGAGTGCAGCAGCCGTTTTTCAATTTTGCTTTCATTTCTCCCATTCAAATTTTAAAAACCCCGTAGCAACTTATGAAATAGTAATCAGTCGAATATGACTGGTATTCCACAGTTTTTGGCTCTACCGAGGTTACTGCGAGCTCTACTTCAGTACGAACAATAGTATCCTACATATAATTGAAGAAGATAATTCTAGACATTTTGAAAAGTATAGATTTTTGAAAGTTCATTAGTATGCTTATGCTTGCAGCTATTTTATATGTGGGCGGCACTTTTGCAAAATGCGGAACTATTCAATGGGAACGTAACCAGAACTCGTAGTTCGGAAAAAAGTCCTGGTTTGCAGAATCTTTTTTCAAAGTCTGATACTGTAGCTCATTGAGCAAGCCCAGCAAAAGTGGATTTTCAAATCCTTTGTTGACTAAAAAAAATTGATACGGCATTGCCTTCAAGAGAGAAGAAGGATGTAAGATTATCTGAGGACTAGTTTTCGTTTGTCATGCTTTCGTAGCTCAATAGTCAGTTGCAGTCGTAAAAAACCACTTGATCTCCTTACAAACATCCGTAATCCGTAATCTGGGGTGCGGCGAAGGGGCTGCTCGAAGTTTATGACTAACTGACTGGTTTGTCAAGGAGGAGGACGGGTCAAAAACACTGATGCTTCGTTCGAAGGGGGCGGGGGGGGGGAGGGGGAGCAAATTCGCGCACATTATTTCTTGGGCCAGACAGTCGATGCCTGTCTGTAGCCGGTCTTTTGCTAACGATCATACGCTTGACTGAAATCGTTCCGGCACATCTGCATATGGGGCGCTTGAGCGCTCGCGGAAAACTCGTCCCTCAATTCGTATCACACAGGCACTTGATTGCATCGAAATGTGTTGGGCGTCAGACACTTTCTGATGCATAAAAAAGGGCGTGGCACTTTTTGCACATGAAAAGCCTTGTGTACGACTTACACCGCTATCAGGAAATTGTCAAAAGAAGCAATTGAGAAAGTAATGGCACCGGTTTTCCGCTATGCAAAAGAGACGAGTAATGGAGGTTGTATGGCGCTTAACTGCGCGCGTAAAACGCGTAAACTCAGACGCATGTGATTACTGCGCAGGGTTACGGTAGCTGGGTAATGGCGCCCTAGTCGCTCTAGCATAGCTTCACAAGCATTCCAGTGCTTCTTAGCTTATCTATGAGAAACATCTGCACAAACAGGCTATGCTGCACCTTTATCGCACATAAATCCCGCTACCTGTGTTCCTGCAGCGATTCTCCCTCCCCCCCCCCCTCTCGTGAAATAAAAAACTCTTTTGTCGTGACAGTAAGCCCAAACAATCGTTTCATTCTTCTCGACAGCCGGTCACTATTGACAGTCTCGATTATGCGTCAAACGATTGATTCGCAATAGCTGACGGCTCGAAAACCAGACCGTTGGCGCCATACTGTGAGCAGCAGTCCGTCAGCATCTCAATGTTTTTGCCGGAATTTTGTCTTGATGACGGCGCCATCGGTCAAGTTTTTGTTATGAAGTTACTACAGGATGCAAAATGCTCGGTCTAGTAAGAGTGACCACAAAAGGGTCTGAGATTGCAGACATAACGGAAATTGAGTTTCAAAAGAAGTTTGTAGACCTTACACGCAGGATGAAGCTTTACAATACAGCTAATTATTCTAACGATAGCAAATTCATAAGTTACGAATTAAACTTCTACTTACTGCTCAATTACCTCCAACTCAGGACTAGACACAGCTCACCGGGTCAAACTGAATATCTTTGGGACAAAAAGCAAAGAAGATGTTGTTTTTGGGTCAAAAAATACACAAAAAGTCCGACGTTTCTTTCAGTCGACGTTTCGTTTTTTGGTGAGTTTAGGGTTGAGGGTAAACGAAATTCTCAAGACCAATGGGACTTCATTTTGAAATTTCCATGGGACCAGCTCATGCCGAGCCCTGCTCCAGCTTCACTCAAAAAAGTTTGCAAAAATCATCTCGAAAGTCAAGAATAACAGATTTGTTATTTCTATACGCAACGGGTGTTTTTAATAGTTTTCGCATATGAAATGATTGCTAATTCTTCGCTAGAACACATGTTTAAAATTTATTGGAAAATGAAAAAATTTGGTCTTCAAAAAATTCATTACCCACAACAGACGATCGAAACAACAAAATTCTTTAGGATAATGATTTAGGTCAAGTAGAAAGATTTCATCATAAAGGTAAACCCTCAAAAACTCTCAAGGTAAACTCTCTCGCAATCTCTAGTCCATGTGTACAAAAACTAGCAGACCCCTCTTACCAAAAATTACTAGTACTAGCTACCTTTTGCATATATTCAGTGAAACTCGATAGCAGTAAAAGAGATGTGCATAGCAAACGAGATTGGAAAACAAAAGAAGTTTCCTGATGAAGGGAAATCTGAGAAATTCAGTTGAAAGGCCAGTAAATGAGTCGAGATAATGGGGTATAATGGAGAATACTGCAAAAAAAGTACAGAAGTCCTGGACTTTTTTGCATTCATAAAATTTCAAAGGCAGTCAGCACAGTAACTTATTTTTGTTAATTCTTAATTTTTTTGTTATTTTGAACGTAGTTTATAGCTTGTGCTTCCCTCTATGACGTGACAAAGAAAACCTTTACTCGACCCATTCTCTCCTCCAAAACTTCTCCGAAAGCCATAAAACTCCTAACGACAGGTAAATGACGCACATTCCTCTTTGAATCGATAGTTACTGTGTTTGCAAAACACCAAAGCCAAAGAATTCCATAAGCAGGGACAAATTGCCCGCGAGTGCAAACAATGCATGTAAGTGATCTACAAATATGTAGAGCTACACTTAAGAGTGCACACATCGCTTGGAAGCAAATTTGTTTTCAAAGTGCAGTTCAGACTAGCCTCCTCAAGAGTCCAGGACTAGCTGAGGGAAGGAAAAAATCGCGAAAAAACGTGAAATTTAGAATCAAAATTTGACAGATTTTTCTGATCCAACCTATACAAAAAAATGATTTTAATTCAAATCTACTTCAAGGAGCCTTTTTGCCTAAACATTAAAATAAGTCAGGCCATAAAGTTGGAGAAAAGAAACAGAACTAATCGTTCCAAAAAACTAACTTCAAAGGTAGGAAAAACCATGTACAGCAAGTTATATAATTTTTCAATAACCGAGAAAAATGTGAGATTTTACAGCATTAGCGGAAAAAATGTAATCACAATATGAAATAGATTGAATAATATGTCAAAGTATAACATCACCAACTATAACGAAGAACCTGATGGTTTTTGGATCAAAATTCAAGAATAAAACACCAGGAAATCAGAAAGGCATGGAAACTTGCATTCAGCAAGAGGAAAATTTTTCATATCAGAATTTGAAGGTATTTTCTAGAGAGAAAATTGATCAGGAAATTACAAGAAAAGATAAGAAAGTGATAGTTCAGACTTGAGTAACAATTTTTTTTGTATTTCCGAACCTCAGCTCCATGCATCCTTCATTTGAAATTTTTTCGTCTCCTTAGCTCTCCCCCCCCCCCCCCCAAATAAAAAAACTTCTACGAATGCTCTATGCTAGCAACAGCCGTTATAGATGACATAGACCATTCCGACTATTACGCCTCAATCCGCTTAGTCACCTCAGACCCATAAATCTAGCCTGATTAATGGGTACATAGCAGAAATCCGCTATTTGTCCGGATGCAAAAAATGAAGAGAACAAGTTCCTCTACAGCTCCCTCTTGAAACTTCGTGAATGCTTGGAAAGTAGACTCAGACTGAGCATGTATGCCGAGAGATTAACAAAGGCGAGTCAAGAAAAGCGAAACTTGCGTAAGCACACAGTCAGCTGAGCGATTTGCAAGAAAAAATGCCAACAGGCATTTTTTTTTCGCAAACAAAAAATGAAGATGTCAACAGACAAAAGTGGAACTGCTCCGGATAAGAAATTTGATAATGTAAGCGTTGCAGAAATCTTTGAAAAGGAAACGAGTACGATAGTCAAATAGATTTTTGCACAAAATAGTAAATAACATCTGCAAATATAACAAGAAGTGAAATTATCAAAAATATACAGATTATTGGTACTGTTCAGTATACCGACCCCAAAAATCAAAAATCTCGGATTCCGCTCAACTCAGTATAGGGGGGTTATTCGATCCGCTGATGCCGAATATCATATCGATTCCATGCGATAGCGCCATTTCCCGGGGGTTACGGTGGGTATACGGTAGGAGGTCAAAATCACAAAATTCTCTGAGACTTGGTGCAGGGGGGTTATTTGACATGCTGAACACGAATATGATATCCATTCGTTACGGTAGCACCTCGTTCCGGGGCTACGGTGGGTATACTGTAGGAAGGTCTAATCCACTGCTTTCCACACCCACCGCCGCGCGCGATACACCCTGCGCGGCTTTTGCCTAGGCAAAGCAGGGGGAGGAAATTTCTGACGTGTGACTGAGATTTTAGGCCCACAATCTTGATCTAGCGGTGGTATTGGTAATGTATACCCAACGTAACGTCGGAATGAGGCACTATCATAACTAATAAACATCATAATCGTGATCAGCACGTCAAATAACTCCCCTACACGAAGTTTCAGCGGATATCGTGATTTTGACCTCTTACCGTATACCCACCATAACCCCGGAATGAGGAGCTACCGTAACGAATGAATATCGTATTCGTGTTCAGCATGTCGTATAACCCCCATCTTACCGAGTTACAGAGAATTTGCGACTTTGACCCCC